TAGGATTTTGGAGGTGGGGTGGTCAGAACAGCAGTGAGAAAATGCGAGAGGATTTCTATCATGCCGCTTATTTGCTATGATGCCAGGTGCCTTCAGATCAGGTGAACTGAGAAACACTGATGTTCTGAGCAAGCTTTCTGTCTGGCATCTCTGCCAAATCATATGAAGTCAGCACGATGTCTGAATAAAACAGCATGCAAATTCTGGCCAGGGTATCTGAACAGAAAGGAAAGTATATGATCTATATGGTGCCCATGTCAGATGCAGACAGCCATGCACAACAGCACAGAAGTTTGATCAAAATGCAATCAGGATAGCTATATTTATCACAAGTGCAAAACTATTCAGACTTCGGTATCCTACCAGCACTTGTTCTGTGTGCACATACATTTCATGGAATTCAAGGGTATATCCCTCTATCTGAAAAAAAGCTATTCCCTCTTCATCAGGAGCAAACTTATGTAAAACACATTACAGGCATGGAAGAGGGGTCGGGGTATGTAGGCACACACAAATATCCTAATAAATTAAACAGTAATGGAATGTCTGTAAATGACTATGTCCATAAGTATCACAGTCTCTGGATATATCACATGGAAATATTTCATGTCCCCTACAAAATATTTAATAAATAAATAAATAAATAAACCCCATGAGATTTGAGATTCTACTACACATCAGGCCTGGAATTTCTCATCTATAATGCACTGACTATTGGTTGTACATATACAAGCAGCTTCAAAGGACGATCAAAGGCAAAAACCAAACCAAAACAAAAAATCACCCACTTTCTCAATTCAGGACACTATAAGGAAAGAGAAAAAATGCCTTGCTTCAGAAGTGGTCTTGCAACGGGTCTGATAAAATGCCTGTTTGCGAATACTAACAACAGTCATTTAAAAAAATCTTTTTGTAGAAAAAAAGTTAGGCAAGGTAATACCAGTAGAAAAGTCAGTATCATTTGATCACTGCCATATTTTCAAAGTGGTGCCCAGATACTAATTCATCTCTACAATCTCTTCGTTTGGTAAGTGACTTCTTTTCACGGAAAAGATTACAGAAACTCAAGATAAGGGGTACATCTAAATGTTCAAAAGCATACAATGAGTTTGTTCCAGAATTATTAAAAGAATTCCCAGTCTTTTCTCAGGCTGATAGCCCATGTTCTCCTCTCCCTCATAAAAGGTTATCTAACTATATGTGTGTGTGTATATATATATGTGTATATATATATATATACACACACACACACATTTTCACAGGGAGAAAGAGACAATAATTTAATAAGGACAAAACAAACAAAAAACCTTATTAATACCAGTATAAATACAGTCTGTAATATTTCAGTTATTTTAACTGTGAAAGTAATGAGAGACTTCTGCACTAAAAACCAAAATAGAGCAAAACTGTAGAGTATAAAAATTCTAGCATTAAGGCTGAGTAGAGAGATGGAAAGACTAACATTAAATAAATAAATGCAATAGGCCTGCCTGCCTGATCACTTTAGAGCAGCTCCCAACAGACCAAGGTAGAATAGAGCTTCTGTGCAAGGGGTTGGAAATAAGAATTGATGGTAGAACAATTTCTTTACAGCCCTTTGGAGACTGGAGAGCCAAAACAAGAGGGAAATGAGATCTAGGCCACTCGCGAGATGCACCAATTTAATGGAATGCACAAGATAGCCCAAAATTGAGCGCTAAATTAAATTCCAAGTTGCCTTCCCCAACAAAAGAGGTCTGGAAAGGAAGCAGAAATGAAGTGAGCTGTGCCATATCAAATGCGAAAAGCCCTTCACCTGGCGTCTGTGTATGCTGCTCTTCTCTAGCAACGAAACCTGCTAACCCAAGGTAAAGCATGAAAATACACACTGCAGCATATTATTCAGAACAAGCTTGGCTTTTCCATACAAAATTGCAGCATCCTTTTACCTTGCCTACTTAATACCAAAAATTTGAGACTAAAACCTCTGGATAGATGCTTGCAGTTCCACAGCAGTTCAGAGCCATACATTTGCTCTGGTCCATCCCGAGTACTTCAAGTCAAGTCAATGGTGATATCCTGTGAAATGGGCTCATACACCAAGCGACAAACCTGGCCTTCAGGTGTGGTCACAGCACCCACAGAGCGAGACAATTACAGTAGGTTCAAATGAGACCATGTTTTAGCTCTCCTACTGAGAGCAAAGCCACATTGGTATTTTACCAAGGAAGGTATGAAGACTTCATACCTGTATGCCCTACGGTTTTAGCTGGACAAGAAAGCAAATGGGGGTGAAGGGGGAAGAAGAGAAAACCCACCTAAGTAGATGATGCTGTTAAGTTTTCAAGACTATAATTAAGACAAACTGGATCTCCAAGTTTGTTTGCTCACGTATTTTCAAGCTATTAAATATATCTGCGCTATAAAAATAGTTTGCTTGGCTTTTTTTTTTTACAGTACATAGAATATCAGTATTCTGAATAAATACAGACAAAATTTTTAATACACAAAATACAAGATTAATTAAGAAAATACAGTAAAATCTAAGTGACAATGATGACTCTCAGTTTTCCCTGGTTAGATGGGGTTTCAGAGATGCTATGCATTGAGCACAGAAACTTAAATACTTTACAACAAATCCTTCTGTACCTACACAAAATAGAGCACTGCTAATGACAGTGACAGAAAACAATAACTACTCTCATTTCCACTTTGAGTCATTTTTCTGTGGTTAATAAATTATACGCATAACAGTGTTAATAAGTTATGGTACAGTGTCACTGCATTAGTTTGCATTTGTGATGAAGCACTTCATATACCATTACCTATGCCCATGGAAGTACATAACAGGAGACACCACTTCTCTGCTCTTACAAGAATCTCCCATGCTGGCATTTTGATGGATCCTCTAAGGAAACATTGCCTCCTGACCTCTGCCTTGCTCTTACTTCTCACCTCTTGTGCAGCAGCACACCACTGCATGGCAATTCACAAACTAACATGTTTAATAAAACACAGACACTCTTAAATCAGTGTCCTTTCCATATAAGTGATATACAGTAAGTTATTAGTTAAGCAAATATGGGAAGCATTCAGCTTAATTCAGTCCTGTGAAAAGAACACCGTCAGATCAACACGTCCTCCCTCAAGCTGCCGGACGAAAATGGGAATATCTAAACTGACTGATGGGCTCTTGATCAACCACTGTAACAGCTGTTTTTTTCCAAAAGTTAAGAATAAACAAATGTATTTTAAGCTTAATGTGATTTGGTCTTTGAAGAAAGAAGAAAAGCAGAAGCTATTTAAATTCTTGCAACCCAACTACCACAGCGCTAGTGAAGATTGAGATGACAAAAGTAATAAGCATCCTTTAAACAACCGAAATAAGCTGATGGCTTTAAGTATATTCTTTTAGTGCAAAACAGTAAACAAACAGCTCAAAATCAGAGTTCTGTGTTCTGCGGTTTTGGTGATCTCGACTGCTAACATCAAGAGCTGTTATTAGGCAAAATGGTTTTTGTCCATTAAAATTATTATATAAAAATCCAGCATAGTTTAAAAACCAACTTTTTAAAAGAGTGCAATGATTTAATTTTCTCCACTACCATGATACTGTCTTTAGCGAAGTATTACTTTTAAAAACTTTTCTCTGTTTTATCATTGCATCATGTACCTATATACAGAAGCTGCTATGGGAAACATAATGTCCAAATAGCAATTAAATATTCTGTCTCGATAGAATTTACTTGCTTTCCATCAGTATCAAGTACAAACTAACACTATTAAAATGGAGAAAAATCCCAAATTATCTGCAGCTTCCATAAGCCAGGAGTGCAAAAGCTCACATGCTTTTATAGTAGGTACATTCAGGATAACTTTGCAGACATATTACTGGGATGGTTTGCAACCAGTGAAGATAATTTTGATTATTTCCACTTCAAAACTTCCTACATTGGAGACACATCACTGAAAACAATCTAACCATAGGGGAAAAAAAGCGATGGGAAAACAGACTGCTAATATATCCGCTGGAAAGACCGACAAAGAGTAGTCCTTTATAGATTAACTGAAGTCTTTCAGAGGCAAAGACTCAGATATTGCGAGCAAGAGAAATAAAATCCCCATAAAAATACCCTGACTTCCTTAATTTCCTTTCTCCTTTCCCT